ACACCTATCCTATTATGTTAGGCGTACAACTGGCCCTTCTCACCTTCCAGAGCTGGACCAGCAGTTGTCCTTGCTGTCCTTCAAAACGCCCCACCCTTTCGTAGCAGGACCATGACGGAAATTCAAGTATTCGCGCAAAGTGAATAGGGACGCATTTTTGGGTCATACAGTGAACCTCGTTTCGTGCGCCAGACGCATAAAAATGTAATTCGTCGTCAACGCGTGAATCAAGCTGGCCAACCCTTTTACCAGTGTCGTTCATTTCTCGCTAGGGATCACAAACCTTCTTACCTGAGAGGGGGGGGGCGATTTTTTTCAGTGAAGAGTACTGACTGAATTCATTCACTCAACAATGTTCCCTACAACGGTTTGTTCTCAAGGCTTTGAAGGCCACATGTTTCCCTCTGAACAATTTTGGAAAGGGTAGAAATCAGGACTTTTTGGTCTTGAATATCAGTCATTAGGTAAACTATGCCATTTATAAACCATCAAGAGTTTTTTTATTAGACTTTTTAAAGGCTTAACCGGGGACAGTTATGCCATCTGTCCTGGATTCAATGGCTACGGCCGGCAACTGCACCTACCTACTTTGGAGGCACTAATTCTCTCCGTCTGCTGCCAACTTAATAGAAACTGTTTTTGCGCATTCTTCTCCTGTTTCTCTAGCTGTGATGAGCGGATTGATCGTTTTTCTGAATATTCCTAGAAAATGTTACGTTTCTCTTGAAGGCGTTTAGGATAATCAATCAGGGTTTTTTTTATATAGTCGTAGTGCCAGCGGAACGCATTTTGATATACGCAATGGCTTTCAGCCGATGGTGCACGTTAGTGTTTTTTGTCCTCCTAAACAAGCCCAATTTCGGCGATTTGGTATATTAAAGGACATTACAAGGGCTCATCACTGAGATAGATAAAAGCAAAATGATAAAGCATGCGGGCTGATAGGTCCTCTTTGGTATGCGCCACACATCCTACTTATGTTTGATCTATAGATACCATTGGTGAATAGAACAAATCTAATTTCTTGATAATTTATAATTTCTTGATAACTTATACTTATACTTATACTTATAATTATGCAAAGCTTAGAATGTTCGCTAAGGTGTTCCTCTGAAACACGTGAAACGGTTTTGAACAGGGTCAACCGCGCGTTCGCACTATTCGAACGAGGGGGTCGCATTTGTGGTTTTGGGAAAGGGGTCGCATTCAGGGGTTGAGTGGGATTAATTTATTGAGTGGTGAGGCGCTTTAGATTGGTTGTTTTTTCGAGGATTTAGTGATGTGATTGACGCACAGCGTGAGAGGTAGGATAGGTGGGGGAGGGGACATTTACCGTTTCACTGCATCAATATATTCCCCCTCGCTCCACGGCTCTTTTGGAAGAGAACTGGGCAGGATTGTGCTGGCTGTGTAGACTGGTCGCAGAATCAAATACTGTAGAAACAGCCATGACGGCAAGGTGGTGGTCGGGTAGGAAGAATGGCTGGTCGTATTGGGAGAGCCCTTGAGTCTCATGGTAGTATTGGGGTAGCACTGAGATCCCCCCAGAGGAGGGGGGTCGCGAAATTTCTGAAAAAGTGCAAACGTCACGGTTGACTCTGGTTTCGAAACCTGTTCTCATGTAGGGCGTTGAAAATAATGAAATCAATTCAGGTGTCGACGTGGCAGTACTTCTGAAATATGGCTGTCGGGATGACAACCATTCAAAAGGGCAGTCTATGTGCAATAAACCGTGACGTAAAATAACACCATGGCTAGTTGACCCAATGAAATCGCGGGAGCTCGTGACGTTCGAGTGTACGACCGTGAAACCTGAATTATGTTCAGAAACTATTATATATGCTTTCCACTGACAGACACTGAAGAAGGTTAAAGGATAAAGCTTTCGGGTAGCATAGCAGCAAGTACAGCAGGGGCAGCATCACCGTCTTTTTGGTTAAACGTATTAGAGGCATTTCCAATCGTAGTGGAATTCCGATTTGGCGCATGCAATGACTTATGAAGGCGCGTAAAAGAGGGGGAAGGGGGTAAAAAAAGATCCCTCCACATTTAAAACCTAATTGATTACACTTTGCTGATTTCAAACCGAATGATCTCAAGTGACAATTGAAGAGCACATTTCATCCTATCAGAGAACTTCACAAAAGTCTTCTATGCGATATCCTAAGATAGCCGCGGAATCACGGTGCACGGGTGAAGCTCAAGGATATCCTCTCGGCAGATCCTGGACTCCTGTGTTCGCCTAAAAACAGCAGTTACCAAACAAAAACATCATTATTACAATTTTGGTGTTCGATGGCATAGGTTGAAAATCTGAAGGATGCGCCAAGCACCAACTGCAACTGTGTTTTTGACAGATATCAGCAATTAAGTGACCAATTTTCAAACCTCTACAAAAATGTTTGGTTGACGGTTTTGTTTGGGGTGTTCTCGCTTATGTTAGGTGCTCTACGATTCGATCGCCCAAGGCGAATGCGTGGCCCCTTTTGATATTCAATGAATTCATTTTAATCAGCTAGTTTCAGAGCACGAGCGATGGTTTGGCGGTGTGACGCCATTGCGACAGACGTCATCGCCCCATCAGAATGCTGACAAAGCTAGGCTATTCTGTACACTCGTGATCTGTTTAGCTCTTTCTCAGAATGGCGAGGGTAAGTGAACAATCTACTATTTCTTTTTGTTGAAACTTCAGTCCCCCCTCTACATATTCCATCTCTAAGCTAGGGGTGGGAGTCGAGTTTTAGAAGACGATGGATAAAGTTCGAGATCAGCTCGACTTCTTGACGGAAACCTACGTAGTCTTGGTCCTAGTTGACCTAATACGATGCTACTTTCATTGAATGGAACTTCTTCTTCCCTAAGTCGCGAATTCGACCTACTATTTGAACTTTGTCCAACAAACGGTCTGCAACCGGATTCAGTTCCCTTGCCTTCAAAGATTGACGGTTTCGACCGTCAATCTTTGAAGGCAAGGGAACTGAATCCGGTTGCAGGTTAAAGATACGCTGCAAAATGGTCCAGTAGAGAACAAAAACCATGACTGAAAAACTGCGGCCAAAAACTTGCGAAATGAACGACCTTTCTGAACCTTGACTTGCGATGTTAATGCTCTTGTTTACGACGGAGAAAGCGGGATAGCAACTTGCAAGAGACAAACAAAAGAGACAGAATCAGCATCTACACGACCACTCGCCTGCATGACGCGTCTATTGAGGGCCGTGGATTTCGCTCTCGAGCACTTTCGGGGTCTTAAGCCACATCACCTGCTTAAATCTTTGCCGTTCTTTTCACCGTGAAACTTTTAAGGTAACTCGCAACTTGGCACGCCTGTTTCCCTTCCGCTAATAAGTGCGATCAAAACGATCGTGCCACTGTATATGAACCTTCATTAGACAAGGGTTCTTTAGCATAACTTTAGTGCTATATAGCTCGATCAAGTAGGTCTTTCGGAGAGGTCAAGGAAGAACTCTGCTTGTTAGAAAGTAACACTGCATCTTTATGGGAAGGGTGTTGGTGTTAAGATTAGCACTCTTGGTTAATGGCTAATTGTATTTAGAATAGCCTGCAATGCTATGTGGCAGCGAGAACTTGCCACTTGGGAAGAACCATGAGAGACTCTTTCTCTTTGTTGGAATGAGGATTCTGAGAGGGGCCTCTGATTGGAACTGACTGGACGGGGTCAGAAACGAGGATGATAGAGCGGTTATGGAGACTGCCGCTTTCCAACTGATAGCATGGGAACAGTGACTGCGATGGCATGGGACGTCTGAAGGAAGCAGCTAAATCGACCGATGGAAGGCTTCTCTGAATGGAATTCGGAGCCCGGGCGGCCGACCACAAGGAGCTCTGTGAGGTATGGAGAGATCATAAAAGAAGGACTTCACTGAAGTCGAACCATGGCAGAAACACCTTGGATGGTACAGAGCGCCAACACAGGCCTGCGGACCTTGTGCTTGCGCGAGGTTAACGCTAGGGAGAAGAAGAAGGCATGAATTTGAGCCGCCTTGTGAGTAGCAATCGCTGGATAGTCAAAAATCAACAGGATTCTCAAGTTTGGGGTAGTCAGTTTTCTATTTTTCGTATTTAGAAGGCGACGGCTCCAAGGAAATAGACACCGTGTTCAAGTCTTTAATGGGGCTCTATCCGTCCACTAGCGACTTAGCGCGGGAACTTCTGAATAGTGACGATCGCTTCCTAGCTACAGCCTCCGCACTTCTTGCTCTCAAAAAAAAAGAGGCTATGGTAAGTTTCCTGCTAATTGAAGAAAGTCTTAATAGAGTTGGTTGCCTGTGGTTCGTTGCAAATTGAAAGAATTTCCAGCGATTTTTCAAACTGTTTTTCTCTTCGTGTTCTGTTGGCAGCATTTCGTGACATACAATTTGATGCCAAGGTACGCGTATGAAACTTCGAGTTAAGAGTTTTTTTTGTGGAGTTTTCAGTTTCGATTCACTATCAGGTTAACCCTTGACCTCATTCAAGAAAATGGGAAAATTGTAAGGATTGCAAAATGAATGTTGCAAGTAATGCGGTCCAGTGAGAACATAGCGCTTCCTGGACGATCCATTGTCAGAAGCACTAGTAAAGCTGAGTGCACTGAAGTACCACGAGAGATGGTGTGTCACAAGTACCTAGCTGAAGGATTCTTTCATTGGGACGGACATTCAAGCGGGGATTGATATTTTGACGTCATGAAGGGTTTTCTTGACAAAGTTCTAGAAAAGTAAACTACTAGCAAAGAAACTAAACGGGCTTCTCGCGAGGACTGAGACGCTAATGAATGGCATAACAAGGATTGAGTGCTGGCACATGAGGCATTTTTGTTACTAATTCTTTTTCTTCGACATAAGATGCAATATCTATCTACACTAGAACTGACTTTGACTGTTGTTCCGTACGAATGGAGAGATTTACTGATGTTTCCTCCATTTTAAGGTACTTCTAGACTGGGTTGATGGCGATGAATTGGGATTCGAGGCGATCTTAGCTGTTATTCAGAGCATGACAGAGGACCGGAAAATGTGGGAAAAAGCTGTCGATTCGGACGGCAGGTAGTACTGCTTTTGTGAAATTGCAGACAGCGATTGAGCTTCTAGAAGTTAAAGAAATTTCGATTAGTTAAAGAATTTCGATTCCAAGTAATGGATTATTTGTATCTGGTACAAATCGGGCTTCTCTTCAGCTTATTATTTGTTTTTGCCTTGCAGTTAGACAGGGGCTCCAATACAGTGCTTGAATTTAAACCAGTGTGCTCCATTTTGAATCTGGCCAGTACAGTTGCGGTTACAATTTGTGAAGCGAAATGTCCAAATTCACTTTATGGTCAAATGAGGATGAACAATAACTTTTCAGTGAATCTCCGCCGGCTAAGCGACAACGTCTGTCAAGTAATTGCGATGCGGAGTTCCGTACGATGTATCTAGAGAAGAAGCCTGCCCCTTCAGAAGATGATATAATCGTGAAAGTTCGAGTTCCCTACTTGGAGGGCGTTGAGGACCATCATGAAGAAACTTTTACCTTCTCAAAAAAGCCTGTGGTAGGACTTGGAGAGTCTCTTCCGAGTGGTTGAAAAACTGTTTTTTCTTTTCGCAGATTTCAACTTCTTACCGATTGATGCTACCTAAACCGGATCGAAGTGATTTTGCTGCGTTGGAAGAGATGATGGTGGAGTTGAAGTTGATGCTGAATAAGAGACTTTTGGAATCTGATGGCCTCAACAAAGACACTGAAAGACTTCGTGACGCTTTAACAGTGTTTCTTGGTGAAGAGGGTGATGATATTAACGACGAAGAAGTGGAGAGCGAAGAGGAATGAATCACGTCGACCTTAATGAGAAGAAAGATTTGAAAGGAATCATGGTATCATTAATGTGCAGCATTTACAGTTCGGGTTTTATTTCATTGGTGTTTTTCCAGGTGGTCTTGAGAACTAGCTGGAACGGTGACGTTGAGGCGCTACGAGAGGATCTTTCAAGTTTCTAGTTTATACTCCAGTGGATGTGGCGATAATAATGAGATCTGAGAAAAGCCGTAGGCCTCTTCCCTTTTTTCTCCGCCAGTGCTTGCACTTCATTATAGGAGAGGTTACTCGATGATTTTTTTTGTTCATCTCATGTTAAGATTAGATGGTGGTTTTCAGTTGTACGGAGAACACTTGAAGGCTGTGCAAATGGAACCCGATGACATTGAAGTACAAGTTCCGGATTCATATAATCGGTAAAATCTTGATAGCTGCTACTAATGGCCTCAGAAATGTTTGGAGCACAAAAAAGCTTCAACCAATTGTGAAGAGTTTTCTGCGCTCTCAGTATGGTAAGCTCTGTACACCTATGAAATGCCACAAGCTCGGCTTGTTGCAGCTTTATGTAAACATAAATTTTCAGAGACGACTATGCAGAATTGTCCTTCCTAGTAGCTTTTTGGTTTCGTCTTCTCTTTGGGATTGTTTACTCTACTCGTACTGGCAGCAGTAATGGCACAGATATGGATGTAGTTTCCAGTCCAGCAAGTTTGCGAGAAATTGTGTGCAAGTGAATAAAGACTTTATTCACAGAATAGAAGTTAGCTTGTATTTACACCGTTTTGCGAGATTTTCTGGATCGAGATCGTATGATGGCAGGAAACGGCTCATCGCTTCAGTAAGAGAGGGAGTCATCTGAAATCGTTCGATTAATTGATCGTCCAGACAGACTAGATCATGAGCAAATAGGCTTCAATGAGCAGGATTGGAAGGTTGTAAGATGGAGTGCGAAGCTCTGAAGGGCTTTCAGGTGCTATTCCGGTAGAAGAAGCGAAGGGAGCAAGAGGGGGGGGGGCAGAAGTAGTTACGCCACATCGAATCGTATTCAGTTTTTAGGCAAAAGTTTTGGGCCACATGGCTTCTAATATTTCTTTCCTGCAACCCTGCTGATTGAAAAGTGGTGTTTTTAGAGGTAACAATTACATTGGGGGCTCTGCGCTACACCCTTAGGAAAGGAAAAGCGAACAAAAACCCCTCATCTTTAAAGGAGGAATTCACGATTAGAATGAAGGTCGAAGAAAGGGAAACTGACCTAGTTGAGGGACCCACGGACCTCCTGAGGGTGCGAACTGACGCGCAATTCGCATGGAAAAATTTGACCTCGGCGACCTATCATGCCTCAAAGCTGGCGGGTCCGGCGATCTCCGCCCGATCATCACTCGCCGTAGTTCAATACGTGGCGAGTGATTAGATAGCTGAGAGAGCGTAGTGTTGAAGAGGGCACAGCGATGAGAGTCGCATCAATGCTCAAATCAACGGGCAAGGAAGGGGTCCCATTTCTCGGGTTCTGGGCCGTTTCTCATGGTTCTTCCTTCTTTCGTGTACCACTCACCATCCCTAGGTTAATTTGAAATGGGTTGCTTTTTCATCGTGAATTCGTCCTTTAAATCCTTCTTTGACGCTCCGTATCAAAAATCATTGTACCATTCCTCAATCAAATAGTTACCCTTTCTTATTTTGAGCGTAATAAATCTTGCGAATGCATGATAGAGAAGTGTGAATCAATATATCCCAATGAACTCGTCCGGTACACAAATGTGGAGGAAAACACGAAATTGAGAAGTGGTAATGTAAATTTTCAAAGGGGAACTGAAAGATAAAATCAGAGTTGTTGAAGGTGGAACCAAGGCACCTTGCAGTCGATAACGCAAAAAAGGAGGCTGAGTGACAAGTGACATTTCCTGCTGTTTACAAGACCAAGCCTTCGCATCAACTACAGTGGGAGGGGGCAGTGAAAAAAAACGTTCTGTCTTCATGCCCCTACTTACTGCTGCTGCTTATTTTTGCCGATTCGTCGAAAAACCTGTCTAAAACAACCTCTTCTAACCATAACCACTTCAACTTCCACAAAGGCGACCCCCACCCCTCTTTCCAACTTTTGACTCTCGTCAACCCCAAATGTGACCTCATCATAAAAACTGGAATACCCCACCCTCTCCCCGTTCAAAACGACAACGCACAGCTGACCCTGATCCCAACAGTTGAGTTCGCAGAGTCCAGAGTTTCAAAATGGAGAAAAAATAGCAGAAAGATAGCGACAGAGGGGGGGGGCAATAAACGAGCATTTTGTCTTCATGTCTGAAACGGAATTAAACTAACTTTGCTAAATTGCCTGGCTGAAAATTGAAGACAAACTCAGAAAAATCTGCCACGAAAACAAGGTGCACGGTCGAGCTCAATGGGGTCTTCGAAGGATCGTGTACCATAACGACCTTTACTGGAAAGCTAGTTCCGAGGGGGTTTGCATAGTGGGAGCTAATGTCTCTAGGAAGCTATCCACAGTTAACGATTCAAAAATTATGTAAGAACTTCAGGCTGGCGCAATTATGGTAGGTCTCCTAGACGATGGCAGATGACGTCATATTCAGGATGGTGAGGGCAGTGAAGAAGGGCTTATTTCCTCCAAAAGAAGGATCTCTGAGGATTATTCTGCTGTGCGGCTCCCGTCGACGGCGGCCAACTTGGCGATGAAAAATTGCTGTAGTGCGACATGGGCGACACACCTTTCTTTGGTTTTTAGCCCCTCCACTTTATGTCCAAGGGCAACCGGATGGACAACTAACTGCCCCTTCAAAGAGAGCCCAGGAAGTCACCTATACTGAGATTACTTAGAAATTGAAAGAATTCGCGATGCATCGGGTGTCATTAATGGAGACTGATAGAACTGTGATTTTTGTGGTTGCAACCAAAACGGCTTCAGTTCTCATGGTCAATTCCTAAACGAGCGGTGTTACACCAAAAAGTCGGTAGAAGTACCACTTGTATCACCTGTCGTCCCATTGATTACGAAAGTCATCAAATCGGTGCCACTTTGATCTTATCACGCGTCAGACTAGGTTCGTCATCCAACTGCTACCTGTTCGGAGGACTCAGACTTTCTCATTAATTTCGAAGGAAAGTGTTCATTAGATTGACGATTGCCCTTATAGTCTTCGACGTCTCGAGAGCTCCAATCAGTACCTGCTTTGTCGGCTTGGCAAATGGAGCAGCGTCCCAACCAGGGTTAACCGCGACGTTGGAAAAAACCTCGAAAATTTTGCGATCCTCCAGCACCCTTACCATAGCAGTTTATATATTATTTGATGCAAAGACCGGTCGATATGCTCCAACTCAGCCCACTTTTTTTCCTCGCAAGTTGCTGTCGAGCGGAAGCAGGAGGGTAAATTTGTCCAGGGAAGCGGCACATGCTCTAATTTCGTCCATTTCGCCAATCGCGTCTCA